AGAGCATATATTCTTGCGACGGTATGCATGAGGCCAGTGCTGTGTTGTAAAGACACTTTATTGCAATCCTGTTGCTTTCTCCTCTTTTCTTTTCTTTCCTCTTCGTTTTCTTTTCTTTCCTTTTTCTCCCCCTTCTTTTTCCCCGGGGGATTTAGTATAAATAGTTGCACCAGCATAGTATAAAAGCCGTTTCGTTTCGCATTTGAATCGTTTCGATTCCTTTGAATCGTTTCGAAATCCTTTGAATCGTTTCGCGTGTTGTGATGAATCGTTTCGATCCATTTGAATCGTTTCGAAATGTCTTTTTATTTTATGGTGGGACCCCTGCTGTCGGGGGGATGTAACGCGCGCATGTGATTGTCTATCCGCTCAAAAAACGGTCGATCGACAGACGAGTTGCGGAGGGTCCTGTAGACTAGAGTGTAACAGTATATTCAATATGCTGTTGGTATTGAGCTGAAAAAACCGGCAACAATGACGATTCCGCCAATTAAAGACAGGTTATTCTGTAGGTAGCATTGGGCTTGCGGCGTCATACATGGAGTGTGATGAGTGCATGATGCTGGTCGCTTTAATTCATGATCCTTCGTGAGGACCGCCCAATGGGATCATTTTTCTTTTCGAGCCTGGATGAAAAGAGCCAGGAGAATTCCAACATTTCATGCTGCTGGCTGGAAGTTAGACGATAGGAGGGTGTATGTCTCCACCATCACTTTTTGTTCAAACCACTCTTGGTATTTGAGATAAGGTATCATGATTCAAAAGCCTTGCGTCAGCTGAACCAACCACCAAGCAGAGCATGACTTCCTTCTTCTCAATGAAATGACTAGTATTCCTATCAACGTCTTGGATTGGAAGGTGGATTGGTACAAGCGACACCTGCCGTCTGCCATTGACATGACACATATCACTCTAAAGGCTGCATATGAACGGGTGGCTGATGTATCACCTCGATATTTACCCGGCAACAATGCTATGGCCAAGAAATTCCCTGGCTGTGTCTTTCAAATGCTTCCAGGCTTCATTGGTTCACCGTACACCTACCGGTACTGCAGTCTGTTGCTGTTGCATTAGGGTGACATACTGTACACTGTACCGCACCCATTTTGACGGAGCACAACGTCAAATGCTGAGCTAAACAATCTGCAGGGCTTCAAAGCTGCACAGAAATCATGGAATGCTATGGCGGTTGCTGCCTATCTTGGATCCTTGCTTCGATCTTGGGCTGTTGAAAAAAACAACTCCGCCTTGGCCCCCAATGTCTCCTCGAAGGCCTTCTCGTCCACGGCTGGGCCGACCTCCAGCAACAATTCTACCGCTCTCGCGGTAGTCGCCGGTTCGGTAACCGCTGGGCTGTCAATCTATCTCGACAGCTCATCCTTATCGGTAAAGGCATGTGGAAGCATCGCAATGATGTCTTTCATTCTGACGACAACATCGTCAACCAACAGCGCGTGGCTGCTCTCGATCGACGCATCCACAAAGAGTTTGACATGGGTCCTCGCGACCTACCTCGGAACCTTCGCCCTGCCATCCGTCGATCCCGCCTTGTAGACGTCCTCCGACTCCACCTGGCGGACAAGGAGGAATGGGTCCTTGTCATCTCTGAAGCCCGCCGCAAAATCAGACTATCTCTTGCAGGCAGGCGACAATTGATGTGGGAACTGACCCACCCTACCCCTCGCCCAGCAGCCCCCTGATTTACTTGTCTACATATTTACCAGAGTGATTCTGGTACCGGTACATCACAAGCCACACGTACCCCAGTCTCACACATACATATTCCCCACCCCACCTCGCGTGGGAGAGCCGATTGTCCCTTGACACTTTCGACTTGCGAGCAACGTTCCTCTATTGAACGCCTCCACGTGGTTCAAACTTTGTTGACCAAAAGCAACCTAGTTCCTGGCCTCTACAGCCGTATTACACCGGCAGTTGGATACTCTAGAAGTAGCATAAATACCAATTAATGATTCAGTTATATATATATATGTTGGAAAAAACAATCAGTTGGGATAGAGCACTATTTCTTTCGCATCTGGGATATGCCACATTTTGTCGTGAATCTGATTAGAGATTGGAGGCAGGCCGGCTTGATCACCCTTTCTGCAGGGGGGTTGGTGATTCAACATCTTCCGTCGTCATGGAATTCAATCATTGTTTAACACTTCATGGTCCTGGTGGTGTTTTCAATACTCCTGTCTATACTTAAAAACATTCGTTAAGTGAGACATGATGAAAATCGTCTGCAATTACCGTTACAATTGTACTCAATTACCGTTTAAAATGTTGTCAATTGTCGTCAATTGTTGTCGACGGTCATAAGGACCATTGACAACAATGTCTGGGTCATTGACGACATTTTTCTTTGTGTCAATGGCTTGCGTGCGCACATGCCAATCCAGTAGCAGCTCACGACAAAACGATGGCAGTTATTATTGTACGCATGCAATGCCGTCAACTCCGTGGATTTTGTACTCAATTACCGTTAAAAATGTTGTCGATTGTCGTGAATGACCGTCGACAACAATTGACGACAATTCTAACGGTAATTGAGTACAATTTCGGGTATTCGGAAAAAGTGACCACAGCTTCGTATTACTTATTGTGATCATAAGTAGAAGCAATCGTGAAAAAACCTTCATTCATTAGATTCTCCGATGCATGAATTACCGTTAAAAATGTCGTTGTTTTTTCTCAATTACCGTTTCAAATGTCACCGATTGTCCTGAATTACCGTTTAAAATGTCGTCGATTGTCCTTAATTACCGTTTAAAATGTCTTGAACACTCAAAGGCAATGACCAAGGGGACCAACAAAAAACTTTGCTTGCTGTTAAAAGGCGTTATTCGACTCCTACTCGTCGAGAAGGCTGTTACACACGTACCGACTTTTACATAGACACACCATCACAATCAGTTGAGGAGTCGACACATCATCACAATCTGTTGAGGAGTCGACACATCATCACAATCTGTTGAGTAGACACATCATACAAATAGGACTGACAGAAATAAATGAAAGTAGATGAATAGACTTAAAGCCTATAGTGCGACTGCTATTTCACAAGAAGATAAAGATCAATTCAGGTAAAACAACGTGCAGTGAGAAAAGCGATTGTTCATCACTTTTCCACGCAAATCTCTAGAATTATTGCAGAACGCTGATGACTCAGCATTCTCTACGTTAAATCAATGGCGTGTAGCGGTTCACGCACGTGCGACGCGTGCAAGGCACAGGCTACACTTCAACCTGGTAATCCTATAGGTCGAGTCACGAGTCCCGTTCCTATTAGAATTCTGTCACTCCCCAAATGGGGCAAAGTGAGAGGACCTATTCCTCTTGATCAGCAGTATCACCAGACCAGAACATTAGAGTCCGTAATAGTGGCCAGATTTGCTGATGGCCCCAATGCTTGCTGAGAATATCAGCGGGGTTGAGAACACCGTCAATGTGGATAAAAGATAGCATGTTACATGCTACTGCTTCTCTCACGCGGTGGAATGACAATGCAACATGCCCCTTGTGTAGCTTTGCTTCAGTTCGGGAAGAACTGTTCACAGCACATTCATTGTCACCGAACATGTAGCTCTGACCTTTGATTGGCACACCAAGGTACCTCAAGGTTTGTTGGAGATCCATGATCTGTTTGACACAGGTTCGAGTGGCTACAAACTCAGAACCATAAGTAGCAGTCTCAACAGTTGACTGCTCCTTAGAGAAGAAACCGATTGGGGTTCCATTCAACATATGATGGGTTATACCCACAACCGATTGGTCTGTCAATAGACAGCTAGGTTTTGTTTTGTTTGGCAGTACATAGGCTTGTGTTTGTCAAAATGTTTAAGGGCATTGACAAGTTGGACTCTGAACTTTTGGTGATCTTTTGGCATTGGGGTTCCTCTCCCCATATCCACAAGGACCTTGTACGTTGCAAGCAGATCCATCTCAACTTTGGTGGCATGCTTCCAGTTGGTGTTGCCATGGAGTTTGTCGAGTCGAAGGACGCCATTGTGGTCCTTCTGGATCTTGTAGTTGTACATATACTTTGGTGTAGTAGTATGTAGCAATCTCAGCTTGACTTGATTGGTTGGACAAAGGAATTTCCTCTTGTCCTTCACTATATTTCGAAGAAGTTTACAACCTTGATTTTCTGGTAGGTTATGATTTCTTGAGTATATAGCGTAGGTCACTGATTCATTGGCTCCAGTGATGTTCAGTGGTTCTGGGGTATTCTCCCCATGTTTCCATCCAATGGTCATACTGTAAGGCAGACCCAGGTAATAAGAAGGCTGTTCAAGTCGAATGTAGTGATGGTGGCATACAACTTGCTTCAGCTTTGTATCTATGGGGTTGTCCTTGTCAGTTTCTGACCACTTGTGGATCTCATGGTAAGCCATAACATGTTCATATTTGCCTTTATCAATGTTCAAGCATAGTTGAATGCGTGCAGGCTGAATGTCCGTGTTGCGATTGTGCTTGTAATTAAGCTCAACAATCTTAGCATGTTGAACATAATCTTCATCATCTGGTGAGAGAAGGAAAGTCCGTCCAATGAGGTCCTTTTCTTCTAAAAGAACGTCTTCTATATCTGATTCAGCATCACTAGAATGAACAATGGTCTTGAGGGACTTATGGTCTCTAGATTTGATTTTTGTAGGGGGTGTCAACTCCTCCCCATCAGATAGATCAATTGATTTGGTTATTGTAGGGAGCGCTAACTCCTCCCCATCAGGTAGAACAAGACGTTTGTGTAGTCCGGTAGGTGGTAGAGCAGAGCAGATGTCAGAAGGTAACAAGACGTTGTTTGTTTCAAGAAACAGAAATATGTTGGTCATGTTGTGACAATCATGCTTGGCAATGCCTACCAAGACGACCATGCAACTGATCGGCTCTGGAAGTGGAGACAGAGGATGATATTTGTGTTCATGGTGGGCATTCGTGGGAGATCTAGCTAGATCAGTAGTAGTACAGTGAAAAGAATGCTTAGGTAACCACGCAAAATATTGACGTAGTCGCTCCCAGTTGCGTTCACAAGACTTCACTGCTGAGCTTGGGTTCTTGTACACCATAGTATCAGCTAGTGGCAAAGTCTTGTGCTCTTGCTTGTTTCTTCGTGGAGGTCCAGTGTCTGGTTGCTCCCCATTGCCGGGCCAAATACCATGACCAAATCGAACCTTGCGACTTGTGTTGCATCGAGGTTTGGAAGGTACATCAATAGTGAACGTGTCCTTTGGTTTTGGGGGTCTAGTTGGCAAATCATGTGTCAACTCTTGAGAAGATTCTTTGGTGAACAATGGTCCCACCTCAACATCAAACTTGATAGAGGCATCAGGAACAAGTAGAACACTTGGGTGCCTACATGATTTATTGGCTTCAAGCATGACGAAGATGGGAGGATCAATGTAGTACGGATCTGGACAGGATGACTCTACCATGTTGCGGTCAAAATAGTCCGGTCCTGTATCTGGACAATCTGTTCCAGTATCTGTACATTCGGAATCCTTGCACGGTTCATCAAATGGTGATGCATACTGAAAAGTTTCAAAGAAGTGTATGGCTTCATCAAAAATAGAATCCTTTGAGGTTGTTTTAGTTTTATTTCTCTTGAGGATATCTACTTGATCAAAACGGCTCATAGCTCCTTCCAATCCATCGCCAGTGATACAGTTGGTCCATTTGTCAAAGTCGTCCACTTTGGGATCTAGATCTTCCAATCCATCGTCAGGTTTGGGATCGAATTCATCCACTCTGGAGTCTAGAACACCAGGATCCCAATTCTTGTCAGAGGTTAAGACAATGTGTGGTAGGGTTTTGATGGACACATCCGTTAGTTGATGATCATCTATGGCTCGAACCTCTACAGAACGATTTGTTTGAGACAAGGTGATCACATCATCACCAGCAATTCCACCGTTTGCTCCTCCAGATCTGAGAGATTGACGTTCAGTCACATACCCTAAGATGCTGCCTCTGGCATCATCAACCACTTCAGGAGGAAGAGCACCAGAAGCACTCCCCATGCTCCCATCCTGGAAGTGGTCGAGGAGTTCAGCAGCCGAGATGTCATGAAGATTGACCAAACGGCGCGGTGGCAGAGGTGGGGGCAGTGGTGGTGGTGACGGCCGTACGGGATCGGAAGATGCTCCAAGAATAACAGCCTTTGCTTTCTTATCAGGAAGCTGTGCAATATCAGGATCAATGTTAAATTCGATATCGAGGTTGTCATCGTCTAAGCCGGAATCAACACCAGTAAAGTAGACATCTCTACTAGGATTATTTTTATGCTTAGGCTTGGAGACTTGCCGAGTGTCGTAACTTTGGGCTGCAGATTCCACCAGTGTGACATAGTCGTCAAGAATGATTGCCTTACCCGCCAATGGATGATGAATGATTCATGTGTGTTACGCCATGAATCATCAAGCCTAGCGGTCATAATCCATCGTAGAAGTCCAGTAGCGGTGGCATCAGCTTCTCTTAGTGTAGGCTTTAGCAAGTTGATTGTAAATTTTCTGCGCATCAAAGGTTGCTTGATGCTCATGAACAAATTGCTTGCCTTTATTGGTGAGGAGAGTCGTGGTAAAGACTTGATACATGAACGCCTGCTGACGGTCAAAGAGGTCCTTTTCATCAACAGTTTGTGGGCGGTACTTGTGATTAAGAACATTTTGCAGACCGTAAGTGCAACAGATGGCTGCAAGATTACGATTGTAGTTTTCCCATTGCTTGTCATTGCTGAAAGTAGGGGAAGACGACGGTTCTCGTCTGATGCTTCTATCGAATTCATCAGCAGGGGTACGACGACTTGGTTTCTGGATAATAGGTTGTGGAATAGTTCTATTACCAAAAGTTAAGAACTCTCCAGAAGCTCTATAGCCGAGTACACTTCCGTAGTCAATATCCATGCAGTTGTCAGGGTTGACAGGGTCGTTATGGACATGTTTGCGGTAGTAAACGTACCCTTGGATGACCTTGATGAGACTGCAAATGGACAGTGGTACCAGGGCAAGTTGATCATCTTGGAAGTTGCCTTCATCATTAGGTGTTTGACTGCTTGGATAAACAAGAGAGTCAATCGCCACATCGGTCATAGCCATGAGGTCAACGAAGCAGGTAGTTTTAGCATGCTTCAATGCTTGAGCAAGAATACCATCTGGAGGGAGATCGAGAACCTCAACCAGAATGTGTTCTAGACTCTCTGGACAATGACCAGGAGGACAGTGGCGGGTTGTTGATGGTTGCGTGGGAGAATTAGATCCCAAACCTAAGGACGCATGAAACGATTGAGAGGATACAGATCCTCCTCTTGACAAGGTTGGACGCTGCTCGCGAGTTTGGTCACGACGTTGGGCTTGTAGTTCACCTTCGGTGCTCATAGTAGGACAATAAAGAGCAGTAGTAGAGCCTGACTTCAAAAATAATTTAAAAGTATATAAAGTCAGAGGCGACCTTTGCTATAGATCGATTAACCCCCCTATCCTGTGAGAAGCTGAGCACAGGAACAATCCTTGGTCACCGGCCAAGCTGATAGGTAGGAAGGGACACAGCACGGAGGACC